ACATAGTTCCTCGTATTTTAGGTGACAATTTTTAGAGATATAGGATTTCCAGATATTCCTCTCCGTAGTTTCCTGTATCTAGGTGTCGGATGTGAAAGTCCAGGGTGTCCAGGTGTTCCGCTCCGTAGTTTCCTGTATCTAGGTGTCACGCGTGGAAGTCCAGGGTGTCCAGGTGTTCCGCTCCGTAGTTTCCTGTATCTAGGTGTCACGCGTGGAAGTCCAGGGTGTCCAGGTGTTCCGCTCCGTAGTTTCCTGTATCTAGGTGTCACGCGTGGAAGTCCAGGGTGTCCAGGTGTTCCGCTCCGTAGTTTCCTGTATCTAGGTGTCACGCGTGGAAGTCCAGGGTGTCCAGGTGTTCCGCTCCGTAGTTTCCTGTATCTAGGTGTCACGCGTGGAAGTCCAGGGTGTCCAGGTGTTCCGCTTCGTAGTTTGTTATATCTAGGTGTCAGACGTGGAAGTCCAGGGTGTCCAGATGTTCCGCTCCGTAGTTTCCTGTATCTAGGTGTCGCATGTAAAAGTCCAGGGTGTCCAGGTGTTCCGCACCGTAGTTTCTTGTATCTAGGTACTGGATGTGGAAGTCCAGAAAAGTGTGTAACGAGCACCGCTTTGGCGCTTTGCTCAAACTATAGTATCCTCTCTGATGTTCGCACGGCCTGAGGTACGTAAATAAGCTGTTCCATTCTTTTTTTAACTCTACAATTACTGTTAGATATATGTAATAATACTTCTATACTACCATTTCATGAAATCATTCATTGATATTTTTAGCACTCAGAAATAAAACTGTACAATCAGTTTTGTTTCTATCGTCATATGTTTAATATACACCAGCCAAAATATAAGTGTAAGTATAGTAACCAATATCATTCAAATGAATGATAAACCTGAATGAAAACATCAGAATTTATCACACATGTTTTCCAGGTTTTGTAACACCGGCGACACAGGGCATGATATCTGCATACGATGCTCTTAAAGAATTCGTTGAAATGCAACTTAGACGAAATGCCTATTCATTAACAAGAAATAAATAACTGAATACTACGAAAGCGGACTTCATCGAAGATTTTCAACACATTATAAATA